ACAGAATTCTAGAAGGCCTAGTACCCTGGAAATATGTCGAATAGTTGGATGTTGTTCGTTGACAAGCTGTTGGCATTCTTTGCGAATTGCCTGTATCTTGGCTTCGGGCAGAATGAAAAACATTTGTACAGAGTCGATCAGAAGACCGAGAAACTGAATCTTTTGGGTTGGGATTAACATCGATTTGTCGTAATTTATTAGGAATCCTAGAGACTTTAGAAGTTGAATCGTTATTTGTTTGTGTTGATTGAGGGCAGCTACAGAAGGAGCCATTAACAGAATATCGTCCAAGTAAATTATCAGACGAATATTCTGACCTCGTAGCCAAGCCACTACTGGTTTCAGTAATTTTGTAAAGACTCTTGGAGCTACATTCAGGCCGAATGGCATTGCCTGGAACTGGTAGGACTCGTTTCTCCATATGAAGCGAAGGAATCTTTGTGACCTGATGAATAGGAACCGTCAGATAGGCGTCTGTCAAATCGATATTTATCATGTAATCGCCCGGGTAAAGAAGGGATTTTAACGTGGAGAGATTTTCCATTTTGAAATGAGTTGTTTCGATAAAAGCATTTAGTGGACTTAGGTCCAGAACCGGGCGGTAACCCCCGTTTTTCTTTTGAACTAAAAATAGACGATGATAAAAGGCGTGCTTGTCGAACTGCACTCGAGTTATAGCATTTTTGTTTAGTAAACATTGTACCTCTTGGTCTACTAGACAAGGGTTTAGAGTTCCCGAGCAAGGGATTTTTAACTGAAACGGTTGAGTTTGAAACACAATTTTGTAGCCTAAAACGATGGCTAAAATACTTGGATCTAACGTTACTTTCTGCCAATTGGCATAAAAAAAAACGGAGGCGTCCCGTCAGTGGGACGTGTTGTTGACGTTGTTGCCGCGAAATGGCTGTTGTCGATTTCCTTGCTGGCGAAATCTGCCTCTCGCTGATCAGCGAGAATATCTGTTCACCCCGAACGAAGGTTGACGAAATTTTTCGTTTTTGAATACTTCTGAGAGGTATTAACGCTTGCAGAACTCTGAGATTGTATCGAGCTTGGCGATAGCGAGATTCTTTTGCAAGTTTCTCGAAATATCCGCGCTATCGGCGGCAAGCTTATTTATGTCATTCCCAAATAATGAAGTACCCGCATTGGGAAAAGACGCTTCCGCCAGGGAGACCCTACGCGGGTTTATAGCGTATAAAATTTTTGAGCGGCGTAGGACGGATACCGAATTTGACGCGTTGCCTAAAAGGCAAAGAGATTTTTCAATCATGTTCAAAATATCGTCGTGAGATATTGATTGTTTGCTTTCAAGCATATCGTGCAGGACTGCCAAGGGGGCTGCAGCATTCAAAACATGACGCTGAACTTTGGACAATTCCTTGTCACGATTTTCAGCAGTCTTTTTATAGTTTGCAGAAATCTGATCTGCTAATGACTTGTCTAATTTTGGTGTTATAAATACCTCCATGTCCGGAAGTGCAGTTTCTTCAAGAATTGTGAAAATTTGTGAGGATGACAAACTTTCTTAAAGGTTTCAGTGGGTGCCCAACTAGGCCAATCCGCGGTTGGATTAAACAGTTGACCTCTTTCTGTGTTGTTGTGATGAGGCGGGCTTTTTCCGCCAATTTTATGAGGCGACATAGTCGCTTCTTCGTTGTTGATTGCATTTATATGCATAGGGTTGAGCGATTTGCTCGTTGTGGGGCCATCTTTGTGGCCATTCGGGTCGTCCAGATTGATTGGACTTGTGGTGCCCAAAGCTTGATCTGCTGGGGCTAACACAGATATATTATCTGCACAATCTGAGACTTCGTTTTCGGAAGGATGTAAACAACCCACAGAGTTGTCCTGTTCGGGCATGTTGTCGACCTTCGAAAAGTCCATTCGGTTCTCTTGATTGGTCTCCAAAACGACCAAGCAATCGTCTAAATGCCCCAAAGTGGAGGAAATTTGTGTTATCTTGTCTAAGATTTCATTTAGAACCGGTGAACCATTATGATCCCGACTGTCGCTCGCGCGTGATTTCTTCGAGCGGTGGCGTGATTTTGAGCGAGAATTTGAGGCTTCAGGACTTCGAGACCGAGACCTTTTTGACGAGCTCATCGTTAACTTATCAAAAATTACACGATACACCCACCAAGGTAGAAAAAAGTAACAAACCTGTTACTAAAAAACGCTTTTACTTACCTTGGCTAAAAAAAGGACTGTGTGACTCCGACCACGAAAGAAAAAAGTCGAAGGGGTATGCGGGGGGGCCTACTTTATGCAAGGGGCCTCTTTCCCGCACTTTTTTCTTCAGCCCCAGTGCTTTTTATGCGTGGCTCCGACACGGAATGACTTCGTCATACCAATTGTATTCCATACATTTCGACCGGAGAGTGTGAAGTATAATCACTCTAGAGGGACTTTTTTTTATTTCCATTGATCTAAAACCCCGTAACTAAGGCCTAAGTCGGTTGCTAAGTAAGGAGGATAAACAACTAGGTATGGTCCTTATGATGCAAAATAAACATAATTTATGATGCAAATAATATAGTTTGATGCTGATTCTAGCTTTGCTATGGTTCAAAGAGTAATAATACAACATGTCTGAAAAATATCAAAATTCTGGAAAAAAAAAATTTTTTCAGGATTATTCTACCTTAAAAAACGTGTAGGTACGAAATTGACAATAACGACTCTGAAAGGGAATATAGGATTAAAAGGAAATATAGGATCATCGCTGGTATTATTAAAGAGTTTTTTCTGCGTCAATTTTACAAATGCATGGCTACAAACCGTAATTGTAAAATTTAATTTCACATTAACGTAACTCTATTTAATTGTATTTTTAACTGTTGTTATCGTTAAGAAAATCAGTACTAGACAACTGATTTCTCAGTCCGCCAAATACAGTTATCGTTATGGCAATTTATGGCTCAACGACGATCTTTATAAACACAGCGTGGTCTTTGATGTATTCACGAGAACGTAGAGTTGAATGTTTGATAAAGCTCGTCCCCACTTCATTCTCGCGTTGTCTTGGTCTTAAACTCTTTTTCGCCTTCTGGGACCATAATGTGTTTAACGTTTTGTCTTTGTGCAATATCATCTTGCTGATCAACAAGAATAAACGTAGTTTTCTTTGTGAAAGGCCAAGGAAGAGTTCCATCACGATCACCTTTCACTAATGTTAGGTAAATTCCCATGTATCCTGATCTGTCACGCGACCTTCGTTCAGATAAAACCAAGACTTTCAATTTGTAACCATGGCTAGAAAAAAATGGTTCACTCTCCAGATCACCACAATCGTTGTCGGATATTGCTCTAGCAAGCTTCCTTGTGAAGTTTGCTATTTTCCAAGTATATGCTGGTTCAGCCTCCTGTAAAGGCACCTTGGACAAGGATGGAGCATGGGCAGTTGCTAAGATCTCATGCCGAAGAATTCTTACGTCTTCGTCATGCTAAAATGAAACAAAAAATATATGGTTACCGCCATTTTTTGGTTTTAAGATATGTAATAAGATAATAATAACACAATAGATGGGAATAATGCGCTTTAATATGCTTGCATATTAGGGGAAAAGTACCTATAATTTATTTAAATAATAATAAATAAAGAGAATTTATCAGTGGTAATTATGAAATTTAAGGCCAAGAGCTTAGATACCATGTTGCATCAATTCTTTGCAATTCATAATAATTATTCCCAATAAAACCACTACTCTTGCAATGAAGAATAATATAATTAACTAAATGTTGTAACTATTGCTCCATATAAAAGTTAAACTTAACCTTCAGGTCCTTCAATTTCCCACTTTTCATTCACTAATATTATTGAAATATTCATGCAAAACAAAATATGCAATTTTAACTCAAAAATTGTGACAAAAAACTGACCTTTAAATGGATCTGTTTCAAATCATTTTCATATTGGAATATGAACAAGAAAATGTTGATCTTTTGAAAAAACTACCAAAGTAGCACTGTTCCCCCAGACTGGAAAAAAGTTCACTTACATTGTACCAACAACATGTTTTATGCTGCTAATGCTTGTACAGCCTGCTAAAAAACCAGGTCCCTCATCGCTTATGTTGAAGTAAACTTGAATTGATAATGAACTATTTTTGGAGCACGCAGAGCACACATAGTCATGGCATTATTAACTGAGTTATGAATTATGATGTTAAAAGCGGTTCATGAGTCAGATGTTATTACAGTTTTTAAAGCTGCCTTTGAACTATATACTCTGAAAACTGGCCTGTCTTCTTCGTCATCCCTCTCGGAAGATTTCGTCCGAGTGTTAATTCAAATTTTTCAAAGTTTTCTTAACATCTTAATTTATGTTGGGTCAATCAAATTTAAACAATTTATTCAGAGAGCTTTTTACTATTTTTTATTTTTCAACACTTTCCATGCACAATAAACAATGCCCTTATCATATTTATATGAAGCAAACATGAACAAAACACCTGACAATTTTTGGCAAAATAATTCTTACTTGGCTTAAGAAAGTTACACACTTACACTGACCTTTTCCTGAACCCTCTTCAACTCAGTTTCATGCTGAAATAATAAAAAATAATAAATATAATAAATATAATAAAATAAAAATAATATAGATATAGATAGATAGATATAGATATAAATGTGATACAAACCATCATCATATTTGTGTATTATATATACATACATTTCTTCCAAATGTTCTTATAATTACCTTCAATTTCAGTTCTTTAATATCTTCTTCATGCTGTGTAATAAATTTATTTAATATAGTTACTGGTCAAAATATCCCAGACAAATGTACAGTTCTAAATAGCTAATATTTATAATTCCAATAAAAATCACCTTCTTTTCTTGTTTTTCCAAGGTAAAAACTTTCATCATGAGAGTTTCAAGTTTTTTCTCAAGTTTACCAACATCAAGTTGATTGACATTGTCAGCACTGCGGATCAAAAATTTGCAGGCATTTTGATGATTCTATGTTGAAAAAATTGATCATCATATACCATAGGCAGCCCAGACTTTGACTTCCCGTGTGATACTCGCGTGCGCTTACGTTGTTTACTTTGTCTATATATTATGACTTGCGCGTGTGATACTCGCGCACGTGTCGCGCTTACGTTGTTTACTTCGTCTATATATTATGACATAACATATAGACAAAGTAAACAACGTAAGCTCGACACGCGCGCGAGTATCACACGTGCAAGTCAAAGTCTGGGCTGCCTATGCATATACAAGTGATGTTTCCTTTTCTCTTTTTAGTTAACCTATATTTATAGGGTACCAGGGAACAGGCTGGGAGACAATTCCTACACATGTTAATTTGTTAGGAAGTTGACTGTATATACTGTATAACCACCTAGAGTACAATCTGGCTCTAGCATTAATCTTCCCAGCCATATGAGTTGAGATGTCAGTTGCATTTAATTCCCTGTTGTAATGCTTGTTGACGTATGCATTGGAGTAAACTCTAGTTTAGTTGCATAGAGAAAATATGCTACAAGGCATCAGGATAGACACTTCCCCAAATATTTGTCAGTTTCATACCTGTAGTAAAGAGGTTAAACACCCCACCCAGCTACATCCTTCATTACAACAATTTACATCAAGTTGATTGATCATTCTTCTTGCAGCTTGATCTTCAAATATCTATTGTGAAATAACAAGAGAGCATATTAATGTTCTGCTACTTTAAATCATTTCCAATTCCTTTCCTCATCCAACTTATCACCAAAATCTGTAATCCATATATACAAAGAAAATTACCTTGGCACCTGATATGTCAATTCTACATGTAGGGCATCGAGGATCAACCCTATTGAATTTATATAATATATTAATTAGGACATATTTTCAAACAGGCAGGGTTTTCACTGTAGCACTCTACTGTAACACAAGGGTAGATAGCCCGTAGAACTACAAGCATAAGAGGACAAAGCAGATACTACACTTCGACATGGAATATCAATTAACGTAGAAGGTGAGGGCTTTAATTTGCTTTTCCTGCATATAATGTTGTGTACTTTAAGATTATCAAGATACTATACACTATGCAGTAAGCATGAACTCTCGATTAACATATTACTAGATATAGATGTTATACAGTATAATTATCCCGCTTTAATGTGAGCCTTACTTGAGAATATCTTCAATACAGAGCTCACAAAATTGATGTCCGCAATCTCGTATTTGCACAGGGTCTTTTAAAACCTCCAGACATATTGCGCATTCCCAGTAATTTCTGGCCGCATTCTGGTCCTTAAACCACTTCAATGGATGACCAGAATTTCCAATCGTTGCCATCCTTGTGCAAAACACCTAACTGCAAAACATTTCGCTTTAATGAAGTAAAAGTTTGAAACAAAATGATTGATTGCTCAGTCCTTGCAACTTTGTTCTTAAATTCCTGGATACCTTTTGTTTTGAAAGTTGAGATCTCATATAGTCAAATAAGCTGGATTGGCTTTGCATACTGAGATTTTAATCTGAGATTAAAATCAGATTATAGACCCTTTCAATAATACGTCACAACATTATTGTTTTAAATTTAGAAGTTAGAACGATCTTAACCGAAGTTTTACTTTCACGAGCCATGTGAAAAGATACAAAACATCGTTCTTCATCACATGCATGAAATCGAATTCTGTGGAAAATAAAATGTCAAATGTAATGTAGCCAAGGAGCCGTAACACTAAAACGAAGCTACCAGGCCACGAACTCACCCTCGAGTAATGGCTTTTTTCCACACTTATTTGTCAAAATTTATAACGATAATGCTAGGAATCGAACCTACGCTTTGGGGATGCCGGTGCAATGCTCTTGCCACACGCACAAAGCTACAGAAGTAGCTGAGAAGAGCAAAGTTTGTTGGTGCGAAATGGACCATATGTCTAGTAAAACACCAGTAAGCGCCTATTCTGGTCCTGAAACCACTTCAATGGATGACCAGAAACCCAAAATGACCGTTTGTTGTATAGTGCATGACGGAAGAATATTATTCGGAGACAAATCGCCTTGATGATTACAAAGTCAAAGTGGTTAGAAAAAAAGATTAAATTGTTTGCTTGTTGCCTAAATTCCTGGATTTGTGAGCGAATGCAGCTCACTTCCGTTTTATCTGGTCCAGTGATCGGAACTGATAAACTAAATGAGCCAAATCGTGGAATAGTGGAATACACAATTCTGATAGCATGGCCTTCCTAGAACTTTGAGACACCACATTTTGCAAATTCAATATATTATATGAAACTATGAGTAGAATTGCAGAAATATTAAAAGCGAAATATTACCATAACCTTCATACAACAATGTTGTCTTATTTTTCCAGGAATCTGGCAACCCTAGAAGGTAGAACGAAAACGAGGCGCGCATTGTTTTTTATTATTTTTTAAATACAGTACTCAGTAGGCAGTTTTCATTGCTACACAGCAGATTCTAAAAGTCCCCATCAATTGCTGGAAAAAATCCTCTTTTGCAATCAGTACAGTTACATGACAGTTAGGCATTGTATGACATATTACTTATTACATATTACTACTTTAAAATTTCAATATCGACATTAAAATCGTTGTTTTCACTGGTCGACTACAACCATGATGAATAGAGTGCCATTCTTAATGTATCCACGAGTATTTAGAATTGCATGTGTAACAAAATTTTCATATCCACGACCAACATTCTCAACCCCCTGAGGTCTTTCAAAATTTCTCTCTCCTCTTGGGACTATTGATTCCTCGATATCTTGTCTTTGACTCGGGTCATTTTGCTGATCGACAAGGATAAATGTGAAACGCTTTGTAAAAGGCCATGGCAGAAGTGCATCTTGATCTCCCCTCATTAAAACTAAATAAATACCCATGCAGCCGGGGTACCCTCTTGATTCTTGAGCCCCGTTTACACTACAGTCGATTTATCGGCACGGCACGGCTAAAATGCGTACCCGTGCCCAATTTCACTAGTGGTCAGGCTATCAAAACAAAGGCCGGGCGCGGATGAAATGGGCACGGGTACCCATTTTAGCCGTGCCGTGCCAATAAATCGAGCGTAGTGTAAACGGGGCTTTGGTTTAAACTGATTTGAAGCTTCATTTTGTAACCATGTCTTGAGAAAAACGGCTCACTTTCCAAACGACCAATTACGTTTTGTAATATCGCTTGATGATATTTTCTTGCAAAATCTCCTATTCTCCAAGTGTAGGTTACCACACGTTCGTGGTGATTGCTAAAATTGGACGTTGCCAATAGTTGCTGGTTTCCCTGGGAGGCACTCATGATTCTCATGGTATAGACCGTTAGGTTTTCGTTAAATTCCTGCCTAAGTTGGTCCAGATCTTGGTTATGCTAGAGGAAAAAAAGAGTTTAACAATTGACATATGCGTGGCTAAGAATCTTCCTAAATAGACTAGCCTGTATTCTGAAACCTCACTCTCACTCACACTCATAGAATGTGACACTGATCGCGTTCCTCCTGGTCAGTGAGAAAGTCCCATTTCAATCGACAGCGAGAGTTTGAGCAAAATATTCAACATCAAGCTCTCATTACTCCGCCTGCGTATGCGCAGCGGAGGCTTAAAATGCCATGGTTTTTTTTCCTTTTAGTAGTCGTAGTTTTGGGCGACAGAAGTTGGCATTTCTACAGGTGACCCAAAACAACTTCATCTTTGACCGAGAAGCGCTGGGTTACACGGTCCACGGATGAATTATGAACATCAGTTGGCATGCAGGCGGAGTTGTTTCAGTTGAAATACCGCGCTGAATAATTAATACGATTATGATCTCCCACTCAATGAGTGAGGATGTTAGTGAGGGTTTAGAATACAGGCGTAGGATTTATATTTGTATTGACGGTTTAAATGTTTTAACAAATCAACGGTCACAAAGGAGGAAAAAACGTACGATTTTATAACAAACCGAGAAAGCTGGGAAATTATGCAAGTCGTTTCTTTAACCACTAGGCTACAGAGAATATTGCCAGTTGGAGAGAGAAAACTGCGTTTTTAATAGTGTTCGGGTGGGGCGCTTTCAAAGGTGTCACTTAAGGATTATGAAATGTGGCCACTCTTGTTTTGCTTTTATATCGGGTATCCTGCAGCAAGCTTTATAAAATTTGCAGTCACTTTTAAAATCTAAGAAGCGAGTGACAGTTCCGGCTATACATGCTCAATAGTGTATTCTTTATTTGAAACAAAAAACATCATGAAATAATAAAAACAAACTGACCTGTTCTTTCATCTGCCTCATCTCGTTTTCATGTTGCAATGATTGGAGCGCAAGCTTAACAAAAAAACACCTAATATTCATGACATATGCCCCAAGAAAGCCCAAGAGGTATGTGCGTGTGGCTGTACTATTGCGCTGCTATGCCCCTTTATGTGATGCTTAAAATGCTTTTGTTCAACACAGCCTATAAATCATAAACGAAATTGCCGATTCATGCAGAAACAACATTGTTGGAAGCACCAGTCATTAACTGAAACAAATGATCGGCAAAACTTATAACTTTAAATCCAAGTTTTCAGCCCGTGTTAGAAAGACTAGTCTAAATTGCTACTGTTAGACGTTTAGTGTTAAGCTTATAAACAAGTAGATATAACCTTTGGTGCAGACAGACAGTATAATATTTGAATATACGAGATTTTCTGTCTATCTGGAGCAGACAATACTCTGTCTCATCAATGTTATTCATTATTGATAAAGATAGACATTGTGAAACAAGAATGATTTTGACTAATACGCACCTTTAACTTGAATTGCTTCAACTACTTACTTTCAGACTTTTCATTCTACGAAAGATGGTAATAATTTGTATACATACTTTTTTACTATTTAAAACAATGACATGATGAATGACAGAAATGCATATATTTAAAAAAAAAGCGTTGGTACGAAATTGACAAAAACGCCTCTGAATAAGGGCTTGTTTACATGGAGCAAGTTATCCCGGCTAGGCGAGGTGAAAACTGCATATGAAAGACTAATCAGGTTAAGCATTTGATGTGTTGCGCATTTTACCTCGCCTAGCCGGGATAAGCTCGATGTAAACAGGCCCTAAGAGTGTATGATTGTATAGGTTTCCTCGCTGGTAAAGAGTTCAGAATTTTTTTCTGCGTAGATGTTACAAATCCCTATTTTTTGGGAGTCGCCACATACTCGTTTTATTTTACACTATTGCCTCCTAGGGAATATTAAAAGAACAGATTTTTTTGTGATTTTTGTGGTTTTGATGCCTCGTATTCTACCAGAAAATTTGAAGATTCTATACGCGTCATACATTTACTTTTCGAGTTGCGTCTGAAATTGCGTGACAAGGCTCCTCCAAAATAAAAATAATTTATAAAAACATATATTCTTCAGACTCAGATACTCAACGTATCACAATGTGTCAATTTTTTTCCCTTTCTAGAAGCGTCCTGAATACAATACCATGGTGTTGGAGACAGACGTCTCTGTATATAGTTGTCAAGGCAACGTAATGGGATATATATGTAACGGGTGTGATGTAAAATGTGTGTAATCAATCTAGAATCTAGAGAGAAGTACTGTTGTGTGTGGGTGACAATATAGTTCTTTAAAAAACCTAAGTTTTGGTTTGTGATTAGTCGGGGATTACAGTCCTCGGAGGCGGACATTCTCGACAATGGCTACAAACCGTAATTGTAACATTTATAATCTAACATTAACTTAACTCTAACTATAACTGAATATCTAACTGTTGTTATGCTCAAGAAATTCAGTACTAGACAACTACAGCAAATAGAGTGATCGTTATAGCCTTATGGATCTACCAGGATCTTGATGTACACAGCGTGGTCTCTGATGTATTGACGAGAACGTAGAGTTGAATGTTTAATAAACTCTTTCGTCCCCCAACCCTCATTCTCGCGTTGTCTTGGTCTTTTAAACTCTTTTTCGCCCAATGGGATTAAAATGTATTCAACGTTTTGTCTTTGCGCTATGTCATCTTGCTGATCAACAAGAATAAACGTAATTTTCTTTGTGAAAGGCCAAGGAAGAGTTCCATCACGATCACCTTTCACTAACATCAGGTAAATTCCCATGTATCCTGATCTGCCACGCGGACCTTCGTTCAAATTAACTTCGATTTTCATTTTGTAACCATGGCTAGAAAAAAATGGTTCACTCTGCAGATCACCATAATCGTTGTCGGATATTGCTCTAGCAAGCTTCCTTGTGACGTTTGCTATCTTCCAAGTATATGCTGGTTCAGGTTCTTGCAAAGGCACCTGGGATAAGGATGGAGCATGCGCAGTTGCCAGGATCTCATGCCGAAGAATTCTCACGTCTTCGTCATGCTAAAATAAAGCAAAAAATGTACATGATTACTGCCATTTTTTGGTTTTATGATATGTAAAAGACAATAACACCATGTTGCATCATTGTGAAC